AAAATCAGACAAATTTTACTTGACTTAGTACTCCTTTGATATTTAATCCTATAACGGCTAATGTGTAAAGGAAAGTGATTTATAACCAAAATAATGAGAAATTTCATCTCAAGCAATATTTAGGGTAAATTATAACTTATCATTTTGCTAATCAAGACAACGTTCACAACTATTTTGCTGAAGGTATTTAACGAGTTGAGATCCAATAACCGAGAATAATACTTATTTCGCACAAGTACTTATTTTTATCTATCAARGCGTCCAAAATATTTCATTTGTTTTCATTTATGTCCAGAGATTATTTTCAAGTAACCTTATTTAATGTTATGATGAAATAGGCAGAAAATACTGACAAGCTTTATAATAAGAAGGTAGTTTACTATTTAGTATATGGAAACAAGGTAAAGAAAACATTAAATTCTTTTTTTTTAAGTCAGTTGAAGCTCTGACAATATCAAAGGACCACAAACGTTTTAGCAAAAATACACATAAAATTCAAACAGCCTTGTTTGGCAAAAAGAGCATCATTTCTACCTGCTTAAACCAACGTCAAACAAATGATTAAACGTATTAGCACAAATCGGAACTCGCTAATGGAATTTATTGTTATATTTTCGTTGGTTCGATCACAATCTGGAAAAGTTTAGATGGAAAAACAAAACCTGGTACACGSAATCCTATAGAAAACATTCAAACGCTTTTAGCGAAGGAATAGTCAGCCGCGTGCCTGCTTTAGTAGTATTAAAAGAGATTTCGACTTGATGTGCAAGTAGAAATGCTCCATTCGAAACAGAGAAAACCAACTAAAATGAGAAAACAATAGAGTGAAATAGCACTTCTACATAGTGTTGATTCTAATGTTGAGACTAGGCAATAAAAATAGCATATTTCAGGAACAYTTATTATTTTATTTAATATTAGAACATATTTTCAAACACCAAATTTAGTTAAGGTGTTTCGATCATAATAAGTAGTGGTTTCGCGCGTATTTTTAAACACCAACTACGTCGCAAATTTCGATTCAATTGCACTCAAACTTTCACAGAAGTCACATTGATTATCGATAATTCTTGTTAATGAATTAATTTGCCAAAAAGCGAAGCCATTTGGAGAAACGATGCAAAATAAAAACAGCTTCATTTTTCTTCAAAATTAATTTTCTCGAAACCCATCGCAGAAATTGTAATAAAATTTTCAGAATCATTTCTTAATGACATAATTGATATATACTGACGAAGTTTTAATAAAATCTTAACCTAAAATTTCGAGTTGTTCGAATGTACATGTAATTAACTTTGAAGAAAAATGAAGGTGTTTTTATTTCGCATCGTTTATCCAAATGGCTTCGCTTTTTTGGAAAATTAATTTATCAACAAGAATTATCCATAATCACTGTTACTTCTGTGAAAATTTGAGTGCAATGGAATCGAAATTTGCGACGTAGTTGGAGTTTTAAAATACGCGCGAAGCGCTATTTATTACGATCGAAAACAAACGAGCCAATTAAGTTCGCGAGAAGACGAAGAAAAAAGATTAAGTCAACTAAGCACATAGAATCAAGTTAGTTGACTTGATCATAATCTGATAAAAGCCAGTCGTCGCTAAAACAAAGTGTACTTCAAGCGTTACAGTACTGTCCGACGTTATTCCGCCAGAGTTGAAAAACAAAGCCATCAAAGCTGAATTATCTCAGCACCAGAAAAAAGAGCTTGAAAACACTGCAGATAAACATAACTTGATTCGTGCATCACAGTTCTCAATTGKTCTGATAACAGAACATTTGCTTTCTTGCCAGAAACTGACTGTTAAACACCAACTTTTGTTAAACAAATGATCGACTAAGCCACCGTAAACCAGAATTAATTATTTTATTGTTTAAAATTCGTTAATTGGATCACAATCTGGAAAAATCAAGTTTAATAAAASGAAGCGAGCGCACGTAAGGCAATGAACACTGTACTTTTCAACATTCTATTATCAGGGTTGCCACTTATTGAGATTTAAAACCTGGCATAAAAATAGCGATAAAAATAAAATAAAATTATAACCTTCATAAGCAGAAAAAATAGGCTTAAAAACTGTCGTGYATTTGTGATATCCGATAACATAATTCTGCTTTCTTCTCAAAAAGTATTGTGGAAAACAAAGCTTTGTTAAACAAATTTTTTCATTCGTTGATAAACACAATCTGGAACATTCTAGTTWGAGAAAACGAAGCGAAAGCACGTAAGTCTCAACAGAAACGCAATTTTCAACGCTAGCCGTCAGTTTGCTCGTCATGGCAAATAACTCTTCAAGTACGAGTTTCRTTGCTGKAAGTACCAGTCCTGCTCTTTGCTTCCTCTCACAGAGAGATCATGATCCCTAYAATATGACAAACCTTCCAGATTCTGTCGAGCCGATTCGCACCGTCCTTTCTGTTGTCAATGGTGTAGCGTCTCCTCTAACAGTCGTTGTTAACACGTTGATTGCTTGGTCTGTACTTGAAGATGAAGATCTTCGATCATCTTCTTTTAATATTTTACTGGTAGCTTTGGCAGTTACCGACTTTCTAGTGGGTTTGCTGGTTGAACCCATCTTTTCGTATCACCAGAGTTGTTTTGTGAACAATTGTTATTCGCCTTGTACATTTACCGTTTACGTTTTGTCAGACTTGACCTTTAGTGGTCTTTCAGTTTTGACGTTAACTTTAGTGAGTTTAGAAAGATACCTTGCTATTGAACATCCCAATTTTTACCGTAAGATGGTGACAGCAAAGAGAGTCATGTTAGGAACGATGATTCTCTGGGCAGTAAGTTTAGCAATGATGATGAGTGTCACCATTTTGTTAAAAAAAATCGAAAGCAAACCATTTTTATTTCAACCTATGGTATTCGCGGGTCTTAGCAACCTGGTCATTTTATACTGCTCTATCAAAGTTCAAGTGACAGCTTACCGCCAGCGTAGAACCATCGCCCTACAGCAAGAATCAGTTCAGCAGCCCGACGAACAACAACGACAACAACAACGACTCAAAGAATACAAGCGAGTGTTCATGACGACCATATTAGTTATCGTGTCGATTCTCTTTTACGTTCCTTTCATTATAGTTGTAGTGATACAAGCCGTCACAGGTAAAGATGTCATGAGAGATTACCACGCCATGGCTATCTGTCTGACATTACTTCATCTCCARTCTCTTATCAACCCAATCCTCGTCTCACTGCGTCTATCTTATATTCGAACAAGCATAAAAAACAAACTAATAAGTTGCTTTAGTTGCAACTGATAAGACGCTAGGGATCCTGATGATGCTAGATGATTTATTGCTCTCCGAGTTTTTTTGAATACATTTTTAAGCACTGGAAACTGAGCATGTGAACATGGCGGGGAATGGAATGACTTGAAACCAATTAAACATTGGCTAGGCAGAATTGTTTTAAAAATGACTGTATCATGTGTAAATATTGTATCTATATAATATTCTTAATTATGCATTACACCATTTTAGCTATATACATGATATCATAGTTCGTTTCTCTGAGTATCTAATTAATTAATAACTTATATTTAACATGTACATAAATCTATTAAAGTGTATTACAATGTGGCAAACTTGATTGACAGAAAGAATTTATCACCTTWAGCTACATCTGAAAGTGTCCAGGAATGAAACAAAGTTTTAGAAACCAGTCTATATAACTAGAAAACAAGGGTCAATATGACGAATAAGAGAGAAGTGAAGGGAAAGATAAGACGCATGTAAAACGAATAGAACGTGCGACAGATAGGATGTTTATACTCCCATTAGGTTGGTTTTCAGAGTCAGCTTGATTCTGTACAGGTTGATGACGGCCTGGCGCTGCTTGAGCCGCGATGGCGTTGAGGGTATGATTATATGGATTCTGTGGAGCAGTCATGTGACAAGCAATTGATTGATCGTTTTCACCCATTCCCATGAGATTCAAAATATAAAAGACAGGCGGCCATATTGCAGGAATGAAAAATAGATACTAACGAGATATCCTTTGTTGAAGTTCCTCCAAGATGTTCGCTGTGAAGAAAACTGCAAAGGAAGAGTTCGCCCTGGTTCGTATATCGGGCTGCGCCCTCGGGACTTCCACAAATTTTCCCTCGGTTTCGGTGAAATTTTTAAAATCCCTAATTTCCCTCGTTCCATGGTATTACTTATAACAACACACTCCCGAGGGAAAAAGATGTTTAATTTAACTCACGCCCGCAATTTGCGGTATTTTAAGCAAAGAAAATCCTTTTTACCGTGTCCAGGCCGAATGCCTGCGGCAGTACGGTTATAAAATGCAGCGACTTTATTTATTTWTTTTTCCACGTCGCAGTTTAGCAATCACAAGGGACCCATAATCCAGAGTTCCGAGGTTCGATCCTCGACTGAAAAATCCTTTTTTGTCTTTCTTTCTTTCTTTTTTTAAACTGAAATATAGGTGTTCTAGTCATGTTAGATTTTTATCGTAGCAATTTGTTTTATTAATATTTACGAGCCGCGTTTGTTAAATTTTAGAAACAAATCAAACAAGATGATGCTCAAACAGCGACGTCTTTTTAAATATAATATACTTGTTATAGTCGTCTTGATTTGTTGTAGATTTTGTTTAATAATTAATTTTTTGAGCCATTTTTTGATTTTACAGAGAATATTATACTCGAACAGCATCGARCTTAGGTTCGCGGCCTCGATTCTCGACCCATTATTTCTTTCTTTTTAACTGAAATGAAGCTATTATAGTCGTGTTGATTTTTTTCTGTAGATATTCGTTTAACAATTATTTTCGAGCCATTATTTTAATTTTTACAAAGACAGTATCATACTCGAATAGCGTCGAACTTAGGATCACGGGTTAGATTGACTCGATCACTTCTAAGAGATTCTTTTTTCTTTCCTTCTTTTTTTTTACTGAAATATACTTATTCTTWTCAAATAAMTGGTTGTAGGTTGGTCTATTCATTACGATAATGGCTCGGTGAGCCGAAAGCTCGACGAAAATAAATAACTTTTAGGTTGAAGTAGCGCTCATCGTAATACTTATTCWTATTTTTCCTGTAGATATTTGTTTACATATTTTACACACAAGATCATACTTGAATAGCGGCGATAAACTGACGGTCTCGGGTTTGATTCTCGACTTGATCAGCTTCTAAACAATTTTTTTCTTTCTTTTTTTAGCTTTAAAATAATGAAATATTTGTTTGCAAATAGAATTTTTATGTCAATCCCTAGTTTGTTGTAGTTTAAATTTTATCAATGTGGTGTAGTTGTTGGATTATTTCCGGTATCAATATAATTTATTTTACCGGAAGTGATTCTGCCTGGACAGGGTATGGGACTGGGTCATTTCAGGTACCCCCCCTCAGGGGCCCACCTATCACGTGATTTCTCTGTCAAGACCATTCTGCTTGGACTTGCTAGTTGAGAACGACGCTATCTGAAGTTTACGAAGCTATCTTTCGATTTTTACCCATCACCTCCCCATCTCCTGTCCGCTAGGTCGTTCACTACTTTTTATGCCCACACCTTTACTGGGCTACATGAGACTTTTTTCACCCTATTTAGGGTATGATATGTTAATTGCTCGTGTTTATACATTTTTATTATTAAAGCGGCGCCATGAGATTTTCTCATAGCCATTTTAACCCAATTTGTCTCAATTGAATGCGCGCCCAGTAAACAGAGCTTCAGAGCTCAGGCCACGCAGTTTGATGGGTGGTATTTATGTTACTAGCCTGTGTACATCCGTTTCTCACCCCTCAAAAAATCGGGGAGAGAACGTCTGTGATTTGCCGTTGCTAATCGTGTTCTGAGGTCCTCAAGATTTGGAGGACGAATTTCATTGGCCGTTGACTTATGAGATTTGTGATTGGCCAAAATCAATAGATGGCGTGTAAAGTTRGTCGCACGAGTGAAATATAAGCCTTCATGGTAAACCACTGGAACATGTAGAATTCCTCAAATCGAATATGTGATTTGCTCTCAAAGTTTAGGCTTTAATCTTATATGAGAGTCTCAATGGGGTTAACCGTGAGCCGTGAAACGGCTGAAAAATTAGCCGTTAGTCGTGAAAAATGTGAAAAAAATAGCCATGAGGCTTGAATATTATTTTATAGCGTGAGCCGTGATTCAGTTTTGTCCCTCAGAAGGACAGTCAACTCCGATGCAGGCGCACGCTTGTAATTTTTTTTGTGAATTTTTTTGTAAATGCTCTATTCGCAGAGTAGATCATTTGGTGCATCGAAGATCTTAATTGAGCGGGAGACTGCGTCACGCTAAGTGTGGCAAGAAACTAAAGCTGTCGAAATAGAACGTTGCAATATTGAATCGACATCTTTTTTTAGATTGCTAATAAAGTTATTAAAGATTTTTTAATTCTTAGATATTTTTTGGGGGATTTGTTTTGTAAATTTTAAAACTCCTGCTCATTTAGTGCATCGAAGACCTTAATTGAGCGGGAGCCTTCGTCACGCTAAGTGCGACAAGAAGCTAAAGCTGCTCGAAATAGAACGTTATAATATGAATCGATATCTTTTTTTAGATTGCTAATAAAGATATAAAATATTTTTTTTTGCCAAAACAAAACTAGCACTCATTAAGTATGTTAGTACATCGAAGACTTTGAGCGGGTGCCGATCATATATCCACTTCGTAAAAAAAAGACGGTTCTCGGGAAAGTGAARCACAAGAGATGACAATAATTATGCAAAAATAAATAAATAAATAAAAAAAAGATAAACAATAAATAAAATAAAAAGGAAAAAACAAAATCATCAAACGTCTCCTCCAGGGAATCGATCCCGCTACCGTCAAGCCTACATTGGATTCGCAAGCGGCGCCTTAACGCGGTGCGCCACTGGATCACTCTCATTTACATAATAATAGACCACTTGACACTTTCACCGAATAGACTACCCCAATTTGACATTATACATTCGATAGTTGCCTAGTTAGTGCAAGGGGTTATCCRTCAGTGTCTAGGGGCCGGATAGCTTCTCCCTCACTGGCTTTTTAGTTAGCGCGAAGTTAGGACCAATTATCGGGATAGCATGGAAGAGCCGAAATCT